TGGAGGTATTAGGAATCATTTACATTTTCACTCATAGATATGCCGCAAATATTTATATCTGAAAGTTTAAGGCTTAAAAAACACTTATATATAATTTCTTTTTAAAAAATCCCGAATATTTATCACTATAATACATATGAAATTTTTGGTGGCAGGTTCCTTCTTTCTTTGTAAAATATTGTTAAGTAAAATGGTTTTAAGTCATGAAATTATTTATGTTTATAGAGGATTCTTAAAAATCAACTGCTGAGAAGTTTTGTTTAAAGCACAGATGTAGGTTTAGCTTCAACTGTAAAGAGTTCTGTAGTTATAAAGTATACAGAAGCAAAACAAACAAAAATGTTTTTCTTTTGTTTAAATGAACAAAAAATTGAATTATAAAAATTGAATTATTTGTTTAAAATATCGATTATAAATCTTGTTATAGTACATCGTGAACTAATTTTTATTCAAAATTCATTTTTTCGTTTCCTTAATATAACAACAAACCAATTCTAAAACAGTAAAAATAATGACATAATAAAGTTTATTGATGACAATAATCGAATATGTTTCTCTACATCACATTCAGAAATATTGCATTTGTCCATAAAATATATCTAAGCCGTAGATTTGGTCTTTAACTTTACGAAAACATATAATTTTGACGCACATTTTACGAGAATGTGTATTACTCGGAGGAAAATAAAACTAAACTCAACAAATGATCTTGAAATTCTTTTTTGTAAAGAAAAATAAATAAATACAGAAAAGTGTAAAGAATTTTGTTCTAAAGTTATAAAGAAAGTTTTTCTTAAAAGGGTTGAAATAGAAGTGAAGTGCATTTCTTATGAGAAAGTTCATTGACGTGCTTGACGAAGCTCGTAAAATCTCTTTCAGCTTTTATTACGAAAAACAACAAAGTTCTTTCAAAACAACACCACAATTCTTAGAAATTGTAAAAGGCTCATAAACAGAAGAAAATATAAAATTGGATAGACTTACATTTATCAAATCACATCAGCATTATTTGATATATTTATTCTTAAATGCATTTAAGTCTTTTTTTATTAGCGTTATAATATTTTTGGTTTTTAAACTGAACAGATTGATGTGAATAAATTTCAACAGATCTATTAAACATCATTCGCTTAAAAAGACACATTCAACAAATTTGCTCACATTGAGTCACTGAAAAGAGTCTTATGGAAAAGATGGAAAAACACCAAGGATAACAGAAATCCATCCAATACATCCCCCCACATTTATTCAATCATAGCTTCAATTGTCAATCGAACAGTTTTTCGAACTCGTTTAGAACACGTGGACTCTGCAAGAATCACGTTTTGTGTATAAAAAATATCCTCACGTTTAATATTTCAGCTAAGCGTAATTATCTCGCAAACTAACTAGAAGCGGTGACTGTAATTCTACGGCGTATTAACTATATATACGAGAAGAGGAAAGGCAATTCCTAGTGAAACCAATAAAACCAGGTAAACGAGAAGAAATTTACCCATTGAAATCAAAAATCATTTCAGCTTTATTTATGTAACCGTTGTTGAACACCCGACGATTTCGGTTTTACGACTACTAATGTTCAACTCCGTAGCTTTGTCATTTTGAATACAATCCAGAAGACATGGGCACTCCTGGATCAAATATTGGGAGAAATTTGCCTACCCGGAGGACTTTTTATTGGAACTGATCCGTATTTGCGTTAGATGGAGAGGAAAACCACGATGACCTCCCACGGTAAGTCTGACGGCAAGGGGACTCCAACTTATGATTAATGTGCCACTGAGGATAGGTATTTAACGTCAGCACTGAGAGCAGGATGCGGAATTCGTATTGACCAGCATCATCTGGTTTTGAACCCAGTTCCACTCAGTGGAAGGTGAACGCTCTATCCCCTGAGCCTCCACGGCTCTTTGAGCTGCATTTGTCAAAACAGTAGGAGGAGTATGAAGCTGTTTAAATTAGGAAATCGTACTTCATAATTAAAAGTTAATTGCAAATCAAAATGCTAGCCGATGACGCTTTCTTTAATTCAAGATGTCCATGAAGGAGCTGAGGTTATTTTCTAATTAAAAAAATGTGGTTAATCCGCGGTCATTCATCCGTAAGGTCGGGGGAGGTCTAACAAGGAGCGTAAACGATTATTCTGATTTGCCGAAAGAAATCGACGCACTCCGAAAAAAAAGGTAATGCAAATTCGTTCTTGCTAAGACTTAAAGCATGTAGTGTACAATGTTTTTGAACCTATAGTAAAGAACCCCGTGAAATAAACAAAACAAAAACAAAAGTAATAAAATAGTCAGGGGAAATATCAGCATCCTTCTTTCTACTCATAATAACATAGCGTTATTTTAACATTAATCGAATTTTCTTTAAAAAAAAAAGTCGAAAGCCCCCTATTGGCATCTGATTTTTGCAGAAATGTAAAATTACAATAATAACTTATTCATACTCTTCTGTTTGAAATATCAAACAAAAATGTATTGAAACATCTGTTTTAGTTATTATTTATCTAAAAATTAGCTTTTTTTTACAAGTTATATTTAAAAAAAACTCACAGAAAACTTTAGAATTTAAAATTTTATTTACTCCTGTCTTATAAATCTTCATTTAAAGTTAATTAAATCACGAGCAAATAGTTACGCAATTAATCAGAAGTGTTAAATTACAATACTGCTTTCTCCATGGTTTAAATATCGAGCATTCTTGGTAAGATAAACCAACCTGTCCGTTAAATGTAGGAATTTTCTAATTTACTTCTGATCGAACTTTTAATTTGCGATCTCTTTTACGCTAGCATCAGCTCGACGAGAATTTAAATCAGCAATTATTCTTAGATCTGGAGGTATTAGGAATAAACTTAGTGAAATACATTTTGATTGGATGATTTTGTGTTAAAGGTCAGACTGATTTAACGTGTATGCAGATACTGAAAAATAAATAATAGAAAAGTAAAATTATCTGTATTTCAAGACATAATATTTAAAAATTTGAAGTACAGTTTATATTGAGAGAATAAGATTTTTTTTAAAAAACCCTCATTTTTATGTCGATTAGAAAAAAATGAACCCTTACAAATGTATATGTAGGTACTTTTATTTTCGTCGCACTTAGCTTCACAATGGGGTATTGGCGACGGTCTGGGAAACATTCCTGAGGATGATCTGAAGACATGCCACAGCAATTTTGATCCTCTGCAAAGGGGATGGCTACCTTACTTTGAAAGCCCGACGACCTGCGCCTGAACTAGAGCACTTTACCATCGAAGAGTTTAACGAGGACAGATACAGCTCACCCTCGGTCCCTACGCAGGCTGATCAAAGTGAACACCCACCTGCTTACTGACCGCAGCCAGTAATGCTTGACTATGGTGTTATACTGTTAACCGTGTCTTTATGATCAGGGAACTTGCTCGTTTTGTTTTAGGTGTGGAAGACCAAAGTTTCACCTTGTGAACTTTCAGCTGTGAACTTTGATTTTTCTAATTATTTTCTTAAATATTTAAATGTCAGTTTTGTGTTATTTAGTTAATTTGAGTCAGAAATTATTTGAAATTTTGATAGGTGATAAATTTCACTTTCTTTGAGACGAAATTGCGATAAA